TACCGAAGTAGCGATGACAGTAAAGTGACCCCTTCCATGTCCTTCCCGTTGATGTCGACCAACGAGGCTTTCTCCTCAAGTAACCATCGAACAATACCGTAATGACCTGAAACTCTCTCAATCTCGTGAAGTGGTATTTACCTTCTGCAGAAAAAGTAAAAGAAACCAATAGAATCGTCTTCTCCCTAACCTTTCAAATAAGCGATAGATAGCGGTGTGAGCTTCCAGTCGTTCTCTTGCTTCAGACAGCTAGGGTCTACACTAGCCAACAACCTCAAGCACTCTAGCCATCCATACGCAGCAGCGTAATGTGCTGGAGTGTTGCCAGAGGAGTCGCCCTGTCATGGAAGGTTTCAGAAGCCCAAGTGTAAGGAGTACCATATAGCTCACCTTAAGCAGATCAGCGCCTTTTGCCAATAGCATAGCTGCACAATGCTCTTGCCCGTTCAGTACAGCATGCGAAAGAGCAGTACGTTTCTTGAGGTCTCTTGCCATAATGAGAGCGCCGTGCTCGATCAAAAGTTCAGCAATTGACAGAAATCCAAGGCTACAGGCAATCTGAAAGCGGTAAAGGCCTTGTACAAGAACTGGTTGCTTTCATTACCAAGCAGCACTTAAAAGAGGAAAAAATCAGTCGCGAAGGTCGCTTACCATAAGAGGTGTTATTTTGTTTTGACCACTGGATGTCGGATGATCCACGAGTACCGTTTCATGGGCAAGAAGGGTGGCGACTGCTTCCGTTCTAAAATCGAGATTCAGGACAGTGATCAAAGTTAAACAAAAGGCTACGAATCGGCTCGCCACTGACCTTTGATACCGAACTGCGAAGCACAAAGCCGTGTCTCCGTGCCTTGTCCGTGCGTTTATCATTGACTTCTCTGGCTTGATTCCTTGTGTACCTTTCTCGGGTGCCTCCAGATTCGTGATGGCATCCAAGAGAATCTGAAATATCGAGCTGGGGTCGTCGAGATTGAACTAATGCTAGTAATCGCTGATACTGCCAAGTTTACTGAAAGGGGTCGAAGGCTGAGGTGACCGCAACACAATTCCCTATGGGAGGTAATATGTCACGCTGGACATTAAGCTTATTTCTCCAATCCATGGGTACTATGGATCATTTAGTTTATGAA